CACACGCTAACCACTCTGTGTAAAAAAACAAATAGTTGCCCCTCATGTCTTTTTAAATTTTTTCTCCTCTCACCTTAAAAATATGGCCCCTGGTCTTGAAATGCCCCACCCTAGGGTAAAGACACCTGCCATTTACCTTATCTATGCCCCTCATGATCTTTTAAACCTCTAAAGGGTTACCCATCAACTTCTATAGCTCCAGTGAAAAAGTTCCAGCCTATCCAGTCTCTCCTTATAACTCAAACCCTCCATTCCCAGCACCATCCTGGTCTTCTGAAGCCTTTCCAGTTTGATAATATTCTTCCTATAACAGGGTGAACAGAACTGCACACAGTACTTCAGAAGAGGTCTCATCAATGTCCTGTACAACCTCTACATGACTCCTAAACTCAAAGGTCTGAGCAATGAAGGCAAGCGTGCTAAATGCCTTCTTAACCATCCAGTCTACACGTGACACAAACTCCAAAGAATTATATACCTGAAACCCTATGTCTCTGTTCTACAACACGACCCAAGGCCCTACTTTTAATTGTATAAATCCTGTTCTTGTTTATTTTACCAAAAATGCAATACCTTGCATTTATCCAAATTAAATTAGACTCCATCTACTGCTCCTCAGCCCATTGACCCAACTGATCAAGATCTCTTTGTAATCTTCAATAACCTTCTTCACTGGCCACTATATCACCAATTTTGTTGAACCAAGTTTGTTATGAGGCAATTGCAGCAGGTTAAACCAGAGTTATGGGTTACTCACCAATGTTTCCAGTTCACAGCCTGCTCTGGGGCTAAATGCCCTAAGCATTGAGTTGGATCATCTTTTGGTTTTCTTATAATTCTTTGATCTGCAGGATAACATTTTAGCACCTTTCGTGACCTCCAGATGTTCCGCTGCACTTTAAAGCCATCGCAATACTTTTGAAGTGTCAGGACTGTTGGTAATTGACCAGGATTGCAATATGATTAAAAGGGTCTGGTGCAGAACCTTGCGTCCTTCCCCCCCCCCCGTGGCCATGAGAAGCATTTTGTAAGGTAGCAACGTGACACCCCAATTTCTGTCCCTGGCAAGATGACCTGCTGTCAACTGCCAACAGCCAACTCTCTTCCCCACAGCCCCATCACCACCACCCTGACCTCACTTCTGACTTGTCATTGAGTCATACAGCACGGAAATGGGCCCTTCGGTCCAACTTCTCTATGCTGATCAGATTTCCCAAACTAAACTTAGTCCCATTTGTCTGTGATAACAAGGTGTAGAGCTGGATGAACACAGCAGGCCAAGCAGCATCAGAGGAGCAGAAAGGCTGACGTTTCAGGTCTAGACCCTTCTTCAGAAACGGGGGAGGGGAAGGGGAGTCTGAAATAAATAGAGAGAGAGGGAGGCGGATAGAAGGTGGATAAAGGAGCAGATAGGTGGAGAGGACACACAGGTCAAAGAGGCGGGGATGGAGCCAGTAAAGGTGAGTGTAGGTGGGGAGTTAGGGAGGAGATAGGTCAGTCCAGGGAGGACGGACAGGTCAAGGGGGCGGGATGAGGTTAGTAGGTAGGAGGTGGGGGTGGGGCTTGAGCTTGAGGTGGGAGGAGGGGATAGGTGGGAGGAAGGACAGGTTAGGGAGGCGGGGACGAGCGGGGCTGGTTTTGGGATGCAGTCGGGGGAGGGGAGATTTTGAAGCTTGTGAAGTCCACATTGATACCATTGGGCTGCAGGGTTCCCAAGCGGAATATGAGGTGCTGTTCCTGCAACCTTCGGGTGGCATCGTTGTGGCACTGCAGGAGGCCCAGGATGGACATGTCGTCTATGGAGTGGGAGTGAGAGGGGGAGTTGAAATGGTTCGCGACTGAGAGGTGCAGTTGTTTGTTGCGAACCGAGCATAGGTGTTCCACAAAGCGGTCCCCAGGCCTCCGCTTGGAAGGGACCACTCTCTCCGTGACTTCCTTGTCCGCTCCACACTCCCCTCCAGCCCCACCACACCCCGCACTTTTCCCTGCAACCGCAGGAAGTGCTACACCTGCCCCTACACCTCCCCCCTCACCCCCATCCCAGGCCCCAAGAAGACCTTCCACATCAAACAGATGTTCACCTGCACACCTGCTAATGTGGTATACTGCATCCGCTGTACCCGTTGTGGCCTCCTCTACATCAGGGAAACCAAGCGGAGGCTTGGGAACCACTTTGTGGAACACCTACGCTCGGTTCGCAACAAACATTTGCACCTCCCAGTCTCGAACCATTTTAACATCCCCTCCCTCTCCTCGGACGACATGTCCATCCTGGGCCTCCTGCAGTGCCACAACAATGCCACCCGAAGTTTGCAGGAATAGCAACTCGTATTCCGCTTGGGAGCCCTGCAGCCCAATGGTATCCATGGGGACTTCACAAGCTTCAAAATCTCCCCTCCCCAGACTGAATCCCAAAACCAGCCCAGCTTGTCCCCGCCTCCCTAACCTGTCATTCCTCCCACTTATCCCCTCCTCCCACCTTAAGCCCCACCCCCATTTCCTATCTACCAGCCTCAAACCGCCCCCTTGACCTGTCCGTCCTCCTTGGACTGACCTATCCCCTCCCTAACTCCCCACCTACACTCACCTTTACTGGCTCCACCCCCACCTCTTTGACCTGTCTGTCTCCTCTCCACCTATCTTCTCCTCTATCCATCTTCTATCCGCCTCCCCCTCTCTCCCTATTTATCTCAGAATCCCCTTCCCCTCCCCCGTTTCTGAAGAAGGGTCTAGACCCGAAACGTCAGCCTTCCTGCTCCTCTGATACTGCTTGGCCTGCTGTGTTCATCCAGCTCTACACCTTGTTATCTCAGATTCTCCAGCATCTGCAGTTCCTACTATCTCCCATTTTGTCTGTGTTTGCCCCATATCCCTCTAAACCTTTCCTATCCCTGTACCTGTCCAAATTTCTTTAAAATGTTGTAACTGTACCCGCCTCTATCACTTCCTCTGGCAGCTTGCTCCATACACGCACCACCTTCTGTGTGAAGAAGTTGCCTCTCGGGTCCCTTTTTAAATCTTTCCCCTCTCACCTTTTAACCTTTGCCCTCTAGTTTTGGGAGAGAAGTCCTTGGCTATTCACCTTATCCATGCACCCTGTGATTTTATAAACTTCTTTCAGGTCAACCCTCAGCCTCTGCTCCAGAGTAAAAAGTCCCAGTCTATCCTACCTGTCCTTTATAACTCAGAATTTCCGGTCTTGGTAGCATCCTCGTGAATCTTTTCTGCACCCTTTCCCACAGCAGGGTGACCAGAACTATATGCAGTACTCAAAATGTGGCCTCACCAATGTCCTGTACAGCGCCAATATGGCGTCCCAACCCCTATACTCATTGCTCTGACCAATGAAGGCAAGCGTACCAAATGCTTCCTTCACCACCTTGTCTACCTGCAACTCCACTTTCAAGGAACTTTGTACCTGCACCCGAAGGTCTCTTTGTTTGGCAACACTCCCCAGGGCCCTACCATGAACTGTGCAAGATCTGCTGGGATTCTTTAAAAGGCCAGAAATCCAGATGAGTGCAGAGAGCTGGTGGGGCTTCAGGGGTGATCAAGCTGGGGCTGCCGTGTTGGAGGCAGATTTGAAAACGAGGCTTGGCCAGCACCGTTCGGGTTGAGCAAATCTACAGAAGGTAGAATGGATTGGCCAGCACCGTTTGGGTTGAGCAAATCTACAGAGGGTAGAATGGAGGAGGCCAGCCTGGAGTATGTTGGGACAATCCAGACTAGAGTTTAACTGGGGCGTGAATCAGCAATCAGAGAGCTGAACTGGGCAAAAGGCGCGGAGGTAAAAGATGGGTGATCTTAGTGCCAGTTTGAATGTGGACGTTCAGCCCAGGTCAGCTGTGGCACGAAGGATGACTTGTTGCTGTTTGGGGGCAGTCTGTAAAAAGGCTGCACATTGGCCATGGGCTGAGTTAGCACAGGCCAGAGTTGGAAACCTGCAAATGCCTCTGGGCATTCCCTTTTTGGTCTTTTTCATCATGTAGTATGACCCTCCTTTGGGTTTGGCGTATTCCTGCTCTCACAGGGAGTGTACAGAGTCTGTTCATGCAGCATTGAAGAGGAGTTCCAGTTAACAGCTGCTGATATTTCCCCTCTGTCCCCCCGCTTAATCGTGGTCTCCATTCTCATTTCCGGAATATCGCTGACTAACGTCGTGCGATAAGGAGGTGATGTGGTCGTGGAAACGGCTGTCATCTCTGTTTTCCTATAAGTGAATTTCTTCTCTTCAGGATTGGGTTCCTCAAAGCAGGCCTGATATTGCTCCTGACCGTTCTAGTGCACTCAAGGCCCCAGCTGGTTGCCATGGCGACGGTGTAGGTCACTGCAGTTTGGCCTCCAGCTCCTGAGGCGAAAGAATGGGGAACGCCGACCGGCATCGGAATTTCCCAACGACTGCTTGAGGACACTGCTGACGAGTGTGCACGTGGTGGGCCTGGACCGTGAGAAGCCCACGGTCAAGTGGCCTGGTGGACCACAGAGTAGATCACGGCCTGCGAACCTCACTTCATGAGATGTCAGGAATCCACTGGCAACTGTGGAGCCCGAACTTGGCAAATCCCATCACCTCCCGGGGGCTGAAAGGAGAGAAAGGTAGACCTTTTGTTTTATCTTGATGCAGAGGGATATTTTGCCAAAAGGGGGATTTTAGGGGTGTGGTGATGACCTGTTTTGTTGAACCGTGTGACTCTCTGAACCCAGTATGATTGAGTGGAAGCAGTCTCTTGCTCGGGAGAAAGCCTGGGTCTGATATCTCACTGCCGAGTATTGTATACATAATCTAATTTGACATTTGACAGAGCAGGGAGTGCTACTTTATATTTGTCCCTTAAATGACGTACACGGTCTGATGATCATGGGGAGCTTCCTGTGTGCAAATTGGTTGCTCTGTATCATCCTCTTTTTAAGCACTTTGAGACATCCCCAGGTCTAGAAAAGGAGCCGTCTGTCCGAGCACCTGCCTTAATAAGTAATTTCTTTCTCTCTTTCCCCATCAGAAATCCGAGCCCAGTTGGCGGAGCAGCTGAAGTGCCTGGAGCAGCAGTCGGAATCCCGTCTCCAGCTTCTTCAGGACCTGCAAGAATTTTTCCGCAGGAAGGCAGAGATCGAGGTGGAGTACTCGCGGAGCCTGGACAAACTGGCGGAAAGGTTTGCGGCAAAGATTCGCAGCTCCAAGGAACACCAGCAGTTCAGGTAGGTCAGTCCTCCCGCTAGCAATCTGTCTGTGTCGCACTTCATCATCTCTCTTTGATGTTCAATGAAGCTCAGGGGCTTGAGGTTAAGTGAAAGACCAGGATACAAATATCGGGAGGTGGGATTGGTTATAGATTCATAGCATCTCTACAGTGTGGAAGCAGGCCGTTCGGCCTGTTGAATCCATGCTGACCCTCCAAAGAGCATCCCACCCAGACCCTATCCCTGTAACCCTGCATTTCCCATGGCTAATCCACCGAGCCTGCACATCCCTGGATGCTATGGGCAATTTAGCATGGCGGAACCATGTATTTATTTATTTATTTATTTGGTGTTGAATTCAATGCTGCTTGATTTATACAGAGTTACTGATCTTGTAGAATCATACAGCACGGAAACAGACCCTTCGGTCCAACTCGTCCATGCCAACAAAGTTTCCCATTTGGAGCAATAGTTATTTCACTTACAATGAATGCACTCCTGGCTACAGATCTAGTTTATTCCGTATGAGTGGGCCAAAGCTACCACCCACATATGTGGCATCAGTTTAGGATGTATTTAGGGTCTCTCTGGTTGATTACTGAGAGGGGTGGTAGCCACCAGAGAGTGCCAGGGCTTCTGGTCCCATTCATGGGCAGCCTGGTAAAAGGGTCAAGGATTAAGATTGAGTCTAGCAACACCAAGAAATGAAGACATGTTTTCATTTCAGTAGCGCCTACCCTGAAGTGCTTTCAAGCCAGTGACACACCACTTGAAGTCAGGTCTCTCTTGAAACCTATAACATTCTAATGGAATAAACTGGGCAAATGCAAGAAGGGTGTTCCTGAAGACTGGGGAATCCAGAACCAGGGGTCACAGTCTCACTCCTTCCACCACCGTTGCTCAGCAATAGCAGTGTGTACTAACTACAGGATGCACAGCAGAAATTCACCAAGGGTCCCTAGGCAGCACTGTGCAAAACCATGACCATGTCCATTTAGAAGGACAATGACAACAGATACATGGGAACACCACCCACCTGCAGGTTCTCCTCCAAGCCACTCACCATTGTGGTCTGGCAATATATTGCTGTTCCTTCACTGTCGCTGAGTCAAAGTCCTGGAGTGAGGTGACAGAGAGTGGCGAGCCTCTGGAATTCTCCAACAGAAAGCAGGTGAGGCCAGAACATTAAATGTTTTTCAAGAAGGAATTTGATATAGCTGTTGGGGTTAAGCATATCTAAGGGTATGGAGAGAAATCGGGAACTGCGTACTGAGTTGGACAATTGGCAGTGATCATGATGAATAATGGAGCAGGTTTGAAGGGCTGAAAGACCTGCTCCTGCTCTCATTTCCTCTGTTTCGAAGTAACATTGGAAACACAGCAAGCCCCTACAAACAGCAGCGTAATAAATGAACAGCCAATTTGTTTTTTGAAGGATCAATATTGACTTGGAGAGCTCCATTGCACTTCAAATTAGTGCCATGAGGACTTAGTGTCTGCCTGAATGTTTGTTTGTTTTTATCTGAAAGGGTTTCCGGCCGACACTCTCTCTGTGCTGCACCAGACTCTGTCAGTTTGAGGGAGCTTAAGTGGCCAGAATAGCACATTGACCTCTAACCTTCTGGCTCCCAGGTCCAGTGTTACGCACTCGGCCAACGCTGCAGCTGTGACAGCCTCTGACCATTGCAGACAGCCAGAATAAAATGAAAATGGGACGTGTGTATATTGTGCACAGAAGCAGAACTGCATCTGGTGCTGTGTCTCGTTTTCCTCACTGCAGAGCAGTGAGCCGTACATGTCATAGACAGACAGGTATATTGTTACACCCTCTCCTCCTCGAGAAGGTCACTCGTCTGGAAATATAACCCTTCTGTTTGGAGGGACAGTAAGCAAGCAAGGGAAAGGGGATAATGAGTGGAAATAATCGTCATGCTTGCAGCTTTTGTTTAAATGACAGCGGTGTCAGCGGCATTGTGAACAGTCTTAATTTGGGACGTTTGCAGTTTTACCTCTGCCCCTGCTCCAAATGCAGAGCCAGTATCTGGGAGATATTACCGCCCCTACCCCACTCCCGGGGGGATCGGGCTTGAGGGTGAAGCTCTCAGGTCATCATGTGACCCATGTGTGACAGGGCACCAGGCCTAGTAGTCCCAGCTAGTAGGAGACAGTGGGGCTCAGAGGCAATGTGTCAGCAAGAGAGAGAGAGATCTCCGTCCTGCATAGGGGGATGAAGTGGGGGAATGAGAGAGTGTGGGTGTGTATGTGAGAGAGAGGGAGGGAGGGAGGGAGGGAGAAAAGAGGGCTGCACGAGAGAGGGAGGGAGGGAGAGAGAGAGATCTTTCTGTCTGGCATGGGGGAGTTGGGGAATGAGAGCGCGAGAGAAGAGAGAGAAAAGAGGGGTACATGAGAAAGAGAGAGAGACGATCTCACTGTCTGGCATGGGGGAGAGTGGAGGGAATGACAGCGAAAGAGAGAGGGGGGAGGATGTAAATGAGAGAGAGTGCGAGAGAGAGAGGGTGTATGTGTATTGTGAGAAGGGGAGAGAGAGGGTGTATGTGAGAGAAAGGGAGGGAGAAGATCTCTGTCCAGCATGGGGAAGAGTAGGGAGAATGACAGCGAGAGAGAGAGAGAAAGAGGATGTATGAGAGAGAGAGAGAGAGAGAGAGAGAGAGAGAAGACCTCTCTGTCTAGCATGGGAGAGAGTGAGGGAAATGAAAAGAAAGGTTGTTTGTATGTTGGGGGTGGTGGAGAGTGGGTGTCCATGTAAGAGATGGAAGGGGGGGGTAATAAGAAAGGGGGGTCTGTATGGGGGAGAGGGGAATGGGTGGGGGTGTGTGTGTGTATCTCTGAGGGGGATACAGGGAGTCTATGTCTCAGACACCCGGATTTTCCGATAATTGTTTCCACATTGTGGATGGGAAGCCACGTATGGAAACCCTGCGGAATCTTCAAGTTAGCAAACTCCGAGGGAGCTTCCTGGGAAATTGAAGATTCCCCGGGAAAATCCCCCTGCACCCGGAGCCCTCCGATCAGTCTCCATTGAAATCCGAGAGTTCCGCTGCAGCCCAGTTACTTAGGAAAAGTTACACGAATAACAATTTGGTCAACTCCCGAGGTACTTCTAAACATTCACCTCCCCATCCAACACCACCCCACCCCAGGGAAGGTAGGTGTGACTTCCCTGGGTGGCCAGGACCCACAAGTCAAAACCCTCTCCACTGCTTCTCTCGCGGCCTCTCCATGTTGCAGGTGCAATTTACAAACCTCAAAGTGGGATCACGACGGGGGATAAAGATTTAGGAAGGGCTGTGGAAGAGGAGCTGGTTGGAGGGTCGTGGATGGATGGGATGACTGCATGAGCAGATCGATTGTTTGGTAGGTGCGCAGGTTAAACACTCTTCACCACGGGAGGACTGCACATCGAAACAAAGAACTGCCGACCACACAATATTTAGCCCATCAAACCCAATCTTTTCACACCACCTCTTTGTCCTGCACTTTTGAGGAATTGTGGCCTGTTATCAGTTTTGTTGGCTGTGTCATCATTGGGAACAGGTCTGTTATTTGGTGAAATTCATAGAAGAAAGGAAATAAAACCACATTTGTCTGAAAGAAACAAGTTGTCAGGTAAAAAAACAACCGCATGAACTGTGGCTGCAGGAAATCAGAAACAAAGACAGAAACAGATATTGCTGGAAAAACTCAGCAGGTCTGGCAGCGTCTGTGGAGAAAGAAATAGAGTTAATGTTTCGGGTCCAGTGACCCTCCTTCAGATCCTAAGTGCCAGACCTGGCTTGGCGATAACATTGGAAATCTGAGACAAAAACAGATATTTCTGGAGAAACTCGGCAGGTCTGGCAGCATCTGTGGAGAGAAAGCAGAGTTAATGTTTCGGGTCCAGTGACACTCTATGCAATACATTGCACAGGAACAGGCCCTTCAGCCCACCAAGCCTGCACCGATTCCTTATTTAGAGCTGCTACTTGTTACCCAGGGGTGGTATCTATCCCTCTGTTGGCCTCCCGTTCATGTGTCTGTTAAGATATGCCTTAAACGTTGCTGATGTTCCTGCTTCCACCAACTCAACTGGCACTGCATTCAAGGACCCCACCACTCTCCATGTGAAAGAAGTTCCCTGCTCTTCTCTAAACATTCCCCTCTCACCTTGACCCTTTGCCCTCTTACAGTTGACCTTTCCACCTCTTACTGTCAACCCTATCTATACTTCTCATAATTTTGTGGGCCTCTACCAGGTCACCCTTTAGCCTCCCTCTTTCCAGTGTAAACAATCTGAGTTTATCTGCTCATAACTTAAAACCCTCCAGACCAGGCGACATCCTGATAAACCTTCTCTGCATCCTCTTCGAAGCATCCACTCCCTTCTGGTAGCGTGGCGACCCAGAACTGCACGCGATATTCTAAATGTGGCCTCACTAAAGTTTTAATAAAGTGTAACATTAACTTGCCAACTTCTACGTTCGATGCGCCGGCCGATGAAGCCAAGCGTGCTGTATGCCTCCTTGACTGCCATCAGAACAGTTCTGAACCCAAATAAATGTTTCCCACAGACGCTTCCAAAGCAGCAAAGAAGTTCTCCCCAGTGTCCTGGTCATTATTACGCCCTCCACAAACATTCGATCATTGGATTGCCATGTCGAGCAAAACCCAACCTAAACGTGACAGATCAGTAACTGACATTCCACATTTTAATATCCGAGTCCAGGGCACTTTCTTACATTCCCAGTTTGTGTGTATCTTAGACAGATTTGAATAGCCTTCTCCACTGCAAATAGCTGATGATTTAACTGAGAGGTGCAATTTGCTTGAGAGCTGGTGGTCAAATATACACCACAGTCACCAAGCCTTCATCAGACTGGTAAGGGAATGGATCTGAGGTCCCTTTGCGTATTGCAATGGGTAACCAATCGCAGTCAACAGTGAGTGCTTCGGAGCTTGCGCTGTCGGCTGAGATATTTGACATTCCAGGTCATGTTGCGTCAAGCTGAGGGCAATGTGCCGCATCTTCAGTGTGCCCCAGGAGATAATGTGAGCACTGAGAGGGAGCAGACAGGTTAAATTGTCCACACAGATTTACTTTTGCTCTTTATGGAGCTGTAGGCAGTTACAGTTGAATGATGAAATTTGATGTAAAGGTCTGGAAGCTCTGTGTAAATCAGTAAATCATTACGATCCCCTTTGCCCATATTAACTCTGCCTATATGTCTCCCAATGTGTTCCTGTCTCACCACTAAATCTACTGAGCCTGAATATCCCTCAAATCCATTGTTACTAACACTCATTTCAGTTTTTTTATATATTTGCTATCTGTCTGTCTGTCTGTCCATCCATCTCCCAGTTCTGCAGCTACACTGATCTGTGTGTCTCTTCCTGTTTTTAGGTAACTATAATAGATAAAGCTGGGAAAGATGATTCATTAGAACCTTACAGAAGTTTATAAACTCCTAAAAATCATGAGGGGTATGGATAGGGTGAATAGCCAAGGCCTTTTCCCCAGGGTAGGGGAGTCCAAAACTAAAGGGCATAGGTTTAAGGTGAGAGGGGAAAGATTTAAAAGGGAACTAAGGGGCAACTTTGTCACGTAGAGGGTGATGTGTGTATGGAACAGAGAAGGTGGTGGAGGCTGGTACAATTACGACAGTTAAAAGGCGTTTGGACGGGTACGTGAATAGGAAGAATTTAGAGGGATATGGATCAAATGCTGAAAAATGGGACTAGGTTAATTTAGGATATCCGGTCGGCATGGACAAGTTAGACAGAAGGATATGTCTCCATGCCATATATCTCTATGACTCTATTGGATGGATGAAGTATAGGAGCATCTGGTCTTGATAAAGGTATAAGAGAATGGGTACTGACCAGTGACCACCAATGTCTGCATTTTTAAATAGCTCACCAATTGAAGACGGGCTAATTCAATGTATTAATTCAGCCCATAACAGTTGCTAGCACATTGTACCCTCTCTGTGTTGTGTGTCTGGATGATTAAGTTTTCATTTAATGCCCAGTCTCTGGAGATTGCTGGACCTGTGTTGCCTTTGTCAAGGGGGAAGGGAGGGATTTTGAAACTACACAGTTCAGTGAAATTGCAGTTGGAACGGGCTTGCATTGTTTTTGCTTTGGATTTGTCTCTCATAAATATCGTCTTCACTCCTAGGAAAGACCAACATCTCCTCTCCCCAGTGAACTGCTGGTACCTGGTTCTCAACCAAACTCGACGAGAGAGCAAGGACCACGCCACACTCAATGATATTTACACAAACAACATCATTGTCCGCCTGATGCAGATCAGTGAAGATGTGATACGGCTCTTCAAAAAGGTCAGCTTCAACCTTTTGGCAATTGAAGATAGTGGCGTTGTTTCATCGTAAAGTTTGTTGTAATGTGGCCAGAAAAGATAGCCCCTGAGCTGGGGCTGACATTTGACTTTTCTGGCTCTTCTCGTTAAATTTATTTCCATGCAAAAAGTACGTGGAGTGCTGACAGATTCCAGTATCCTTTCAGCTCCTCTGCTGGATCTCTCTGTGTAATATCCACGTCATCATACCTGACATGTTGCACGCCCCAGGGTAATCTCATTCACTGCATGGTTTTCATTGACCATTCCTTGCCCTTTACTGTTTTGTCGTTAAGAGGAATTGCTCTGAGACAATGTGTTTACATGGGCAAGCAATGAGGTCGTCAGCAAGGTCATGGGGAGCCCAGTTTGGGGGGAATGTGGGGACAGGAGGGAAGTTCTCCTCCGTTTGGGCTAGAAACCTCGCCCGCTCAGTCGGCAGGCCCAAAGTACCAACACCAAGCTGCCCACCGTTAACCAAATCACTTATAGTCCAAGCTGAGTTCACAGAAGGTGATTGGGTGTCAGTACATCTTGAGGATGGAGATAGATGGGTTTTGACCGGGAATTGCAGAGTGCGCGACATTGGGGAAGGTCAGGATTATAGCAGTCATCATCAACAACAGCCTGAATTGATATGGCACCCTTCTAAAGTAATAAAACACCCCAAGACACTCGGGTATTATACAACATACTAAGACACTGAGCCATACCTTTAGTGACTGCTTAATATTGATGAGAGTTTTCAACAGTAGAAGAATTGAGATGATTGTGAAGTCCGCAATGTTACGGAGGTGTGAATAAGTAGTCACAGCGATAAATGTAAATGTGAGATTGAAACTTCATTTTGGGCTGTGGCTGCATGACTATTCATTTGTCAGAGACTTTACAAAATGTGATTTTGCAACTAGGGGACAGCACTTCAGTTTAAACTTGGGCAAAGCTCACAAAAAGTGATTTATCCACCGTCTCATTACCGAAACCAACTTTGAACATTCCCCAGGAATGTATAACACAGGGTTTTTAATTCCCTGATGGGATGTTGGCATTGCTGGCTGGTCAGCATTTTGCCCCTCGTTCTGCCCTCGAAGGTGGTGGTCAGCTGCCTCCTTGAACCGCTACAATCCATGTGCTGTACTTTGACCCACAATGCTCTTAGGGAGGGAATTCGAGGGCTCTGACCCAGCAACAGTGAAGGAATGGTAATATATTTCCGAGTAAGGATGGCGAGTGACTTGGAGGGGAACTTGAAGGCGTTCCCATATGTCTGCTGCCCTTGTCCTTCTAAATGGAGATGATTGTGGGTTTGGAAAATGCCGTCTAAGGATCTGTGGTGAATTTCTGCAGTCCTTCTTGTAGATAGCACACACTGCTGTTACTAAGCATTGGTGTAGAGGGAGTTGATATTTGTGGATGTGGTGCCATTCAAGCGGCTGCTTGAATGTCCTGGATGGCGTCAAACTTCTTGAGTGTTGTTGGAGCTGCACCCATCCAGGCAAGTGGGGAGTATTCCATCACACTCCTGACATGTGCCTTGTAGATGGTGGACAGGCTTTGGGGAATCAGGAGGTGAGTTACTTGCTACAGGATTCGTAGCCTCTGACCTGCTCTTGTAGCTCCAGTATTTATTTTGCTAGTCCAGTTGAGTTTCTAGTCAATGGTAACCCCAGGATATTGATAGTAGGGGATTCAGTGATGGTAACACCATTGAATGTCAAGGGGCAGAGCTTAGATGATCTCTTATTGGAGATGGTCATTGCCTGGCATTTGTGTGGTGAGAATGTTACTTACCACTTATTAGGCCAAGCCCTGATATTGCCCAGGTCTTGTTGCATTTGCAAATAATCATAGAATCACACAGCATGAAAACAGACCCTTCAGCCCTTGCCGTACATAATTGCAAATTAAACTAGTCCCATCTGCCTGCTCCTGATCCATATCCTTCCAAACTCATGGACTGCTTCAGTATCTGAGGAGTCGTGACTGATGCTGAACATGTGCAATCATCAGTGAACATCCCCACTTCTGACTTAGTGTAAATCTGCCTCTACACTGTCCCCATCAAACACTCACTCCCAGGACAGGGACAGTACAGGGTTAGATACAGAAAGTAGTGGCCTCTGCCCTGTCCCCATCAAACATTTGCAGGACAGTACACGATAGATACACTTTCTTAACAGCACACAAGGAGCCAGAATCTAAATCTCAGAAAATGTTCCTGTAAGTGTGACATTGTCTATTTCTCCTGCCTCCTATAAGATATACTCGAGATTTGATAACGGAATGGCAACCTTTGCAGAGTGAGTGTTTATCTATTTCACAGGGGAGTCTTACAGGCAGGAGGGCTAGGGAGCTAAAGAGAGGACTGGCCTCACAGGAGGCTTGGGTTAGATTTAAGCTCCAGCCAAATCCAGTATTAATCTCCCTCACTGCGAGCATGTAATTGGGAGGTAATCAGCCTGAGGCCATCAGTAATCCCACTATCACTACATCTGTGAGTTGACAGCTGAGATACTGCTTCCACCTTGACTGCAGAGCCCTGGATTGGTGACTCTCGGCTTTATTTGTTTTGCTTTTCTAAACAGATGACTGAACACCATCAGGGTCAGCATTAATGTGCTACTTTGCAAATAATGGGATCTGTTACGCATTTCAATCCAGTCCCTCACTAACAGCTGTATCGTTGCCTGAATTATTTTCTTGGCAAGCTTTAAGGCAGCACTCGCTCATGCTGTTCGCAATTGCCTCAATCGAAGGAAGCACTGTCAATAAAAAGGAACTTAGGGCTGTGGTCAGTCATTGAAGGAAGTGAGCAGGATTAAAGCAGATGGCTAGCAAGGGTCCGTTCACACCCTGCTCGCTGAGCTGAGGAAATATTGCAGCACAGACAGAAGGTTGGTTGATAGACAGGCAGTAGTGCGCTGTAGGGTCACTGGCTGTTGCTCAAAATGGGGAAGGTGCAGAATTGATGATTTTTTAAATGTTCGCCTTTTCTCCTGGGCGCAGACCTAAAGCAGCATTCACCTGTAGGATGAACCCACTAGAGGAGGGGGCACAGTCGGGTGGGAGATGCCAGGGAATCACCAGCCTTGACTCCACTGCCCGTGAGGTCCCATGGCATCAAATCAAACATGGGCAAGGATGCCACCTCTACCCCTCACCACTCAACTGATGACCGAATATTCCTCCATAGCGAACACCAGTTGTGGCAAAGGGCACAGAACGTACCCTGTGTGGAGCCATTCCTAACAGTGGCTCCATAGCACCACTGCTGTCTTAGCTCCTAAAGGACATTGATTCTACAGGATTGATTCTACAGTAGGTGTCCAGGGAACCAACAAAATGGAAAGATCTACCATACCTTGTCCAATCTCTGCAAACATTTTGAAAAAGAAAGGAGCAGAAACAGGCCTTTCAGCCCTTTTGGGCCTGCTCCACCACTCAATGGGATCATGGCTGAGATAGTAGGAACTGCCGATGCTGGAGAATCTGAGATAACAAGGTGTAGAGCTGGATGAACACAGCCGGCCAAGCAGCATCAGAGGAGCAGGAAAGCTGACGTTTCGGGTCGAGACCCTTCTTCAGAAAATCATGGCTGATCTGTTTTTGTTTTGAATACCACACTTCCACTTTATCTCTGACAGCCTTTAATTCTCTGATCGAGCAAGGATCTGTCCACCTTTTTACCTTGAAAAGATTCACTGACCTTTCTGAGCCAGAGCGTGCCGAAGTGTTTCAGTCCTCTGAGAGGATTTTCCCTCATTTCTGTCTTAAAGCGGCAACCCCGTAATATTATAACAATGTTGCTTAGTTAGGGCATCTTCACAATAGGAAAAACAACCTTTACATGCTCACCTTGTGGAGACTATTCAGGATGTTTCACATTTGAATTAAGGCCCCTTCACTCTTAGAAAATCCAGTGAAAATGAGCTCAGTCTGTCCAACCTGTCATCGTAAGACGTTCCACTCATTCCAGGTATCAATCTACTAACCCTGCTCTGTACTGCCTCCAAAGTATCCTTCATTGTATGACGTGTTGAGTATAATAGCAGGGATGTAATGCAGGAACAACAGGAAGTTTGGAAGATATAGAAGTTGGGCCACAGCTGGACTAGTCCTTATCACCTAATTACAACAAGGACATGATTGCTGTATTAAAAAGTGCAGAGGAGGTTCTCTCAAATGTTGCCAGGATTTGAGAATTGCAGGCATGAGGAACGATTGAATAGGCCAGTGCTTTTACCGGAGAACAGAGGAGAACCGACTTGAGGTGTGCGAAATAATGAGGGGCTTGGATAGTCTGGACAGGGAAAAGCTATTTACAAAGAGACCCTGGGAGGTGCAGGTGCATAGTTTCTTGAAAGTGGAGTCACAGGTAGATAGGGGAGTGAAGAAGGCGTTTGATATGCTCTGTATCATCAGCAACTTTGAAATTTTGTTTCCAAATCGAAGTTGTTGATACTGGACTCAAAATATTATCTCTTTTTCTCCCTCCGCAGATGCTACCAGACCTGCTGAGTTTCTCTGGCAATTTCTGCTTTTGTTTTTTTTTGTTTCACTTCTCTCAGTCTGCCAATGCGAGAGTGACCCATTTATTCCAACTGTTTTCAGTTTGTTAGCCAACAATTAATCCATGCCAGTATTATACCTCATATCCTACATGCTTTAAAAGTTCTAACCAGCCTCCTCTTCATCAAAAGTCCTGTGAAAGTCTAAGTATATTACATCCATTGGTAATCCTTCATCAGTTTTGTCAGTTACATCTTCAAAAACCTCCACTAGTCTGCTAAACACGGTTTCCCATTGGGCATAGTCAGCCTGAATTTGTCAATTAGATCATTATTAACCAGGCATCTATTCATCCCATCCTTTAGATTCCAGCATTTTCCCTAAAGACTAGCAAGGTCTATACTTCACGGTTTTTCTTCGCTCCTTTCTTAAATACTGGAGTGACGTTTTCCTATTCCGATCCACAGGAATCAT